TTTTCCTTGGGTCCTTGTAGGCTTGTGTTACTATTTTTCTTTAAATGGGTGTTCTCAAGAGGACATGAGGTCGTTATACGTGTTTGGTGAAGATGTCTGTCTGGTTTGGTAATTTCATGTTGGTTCATGTATGTATAATACAGGGGGTGTAGTTCAATGTCTGCTTTTGACTTGGTTCCATGTATAAAATATTGAGGGGGTGTTGCCTTTGTGTAATTTGTTTCTGATCCGTGTACAATGTAACAATTGTGTGAACTGAGGTACGCTTTCTGGTTTTTCGTATTTTGGAAACATCCGTCAGTTTTGGGTTGGGTTAGGTCGGGTCGTGAGACATTACAGGTCTCCACCATTCCTGCGAAGACAAACACACTCGACGAAGAGTATTAAAATAGAAATAGATTCACTAAATTTCCTTCATTTTTCTTGGTTCGATTTTTAAATTGTTACGAATACCAGCAGCTGGGCAATGAAAACACATGGATCTAAAACTTGGTATTAACTATTGTAAACAGACAGAACGAAAGCACGATGTGCTTGGCTGTGTGTGTTGTCGGAGCGCTGTAAATTACTAAAAATTGAAATTAATTAATACATACGTTAGAATGAATGCACGAGGTGCTCGGCTGTGTTGTCAAGGGGACACTGTAAATTATAACAACTGTAGATGACTCGAGTATAAATTACAGCACCTGTAGATGACTCGAGTGATTTCTATAACTAAACATTCAAATATTTCTTGAGCAACATCACTTATATTAGCCAAAAGAAGTAGGACCATGACGTCGATCATCCTCGTTTTACTGGCCTTTGGACGTAAGATTTGTTTGGATCCTCTGTCTTAAGCTTCGGAGGTCGGAACTCTCCTTTCTTAACCTAGAATACCACAAAAAGCAAACAACTTACGCAACTTTTTCCTAGACAAGGAAAAGGAAAATAAAGATGTTACCTTTTTTCCACCTTTCATAAAGTCTCTCCAGCTGGAAACCTGTGGAGGAAAAGCTTAGTTAATAAAGTTTCGAGTAATCAAAAACCTACAAAGTATCTTCAAATTTGTTCTTTTATTGTGTTAAAAGTCCAATCCAAATAAGAATACTAAGGGGGTGATTGTTTATGGTTTGAATAGTAAAAAATCTAGAATTTTTTAATTATGGTTAAGTTTAAGAAAAAGTGGTATGGTTAGTTGTTAGTGGATATATTAGAATAGTATTTAAAATAAAATTGTTAAAATTGATTTGATGTAAAAGTAAGAGAAAATGATTGGAAGTGATAGTTAGTTAAAATTAGTTAAAATTATGTGAGTAGATGAATAGTGAATTAAAGTTGATGTGATATGTAATAATGATTTATTGATGTTATTTAATTATATAATAATATTGGAGATAGTGGGGTTGAGTTAAAGTTGAGTTATTTGAGTTTGAGTAAAAAAAATTACTGTACAACTAATAAACAATCACCCCCGATCACATCACATTCTCTACAACAAGCAGCTAAATATTAATACTAAAAGATAAACAGACGAGAAAACTAACCCTCTGTTCACGAGTGCCTTCCCATTGCTCCTCGTGCTCACGCTTTCGTTTCCACAACTCTTTTGTTTCCTCTTCGTCTTTCTTTAATCTACCTTCCTCCTCTGATATCTACAACAGATAAAAGAAAAAAAATAAATGATCTCGGAATCCTGAACAAGAAAATTGTCTTTCATTGTCCAAACAGTGACGCATCATACCCTCATCTGCATCTTCCTTCTCCTCCACTCTTGTTCAGTTAAGATTTCTCGGACTTTGAATTTTAACTGCTGCTGAAATTCATCCGACCTTTCAAATTCCTGCTCGTATTTTCCCTATCATTGTTCAAAGAAAAGCAAAGACCAGAACATGTTCTTTATTTAGAATTCTAGTCTATATAAAGTATATTTCAATCACACAACTCCAAAAAAGAAGGATGACATTTACATTTTTCGGTTACTAATTTACACGTTAAAAATTCAATCAATAAGTGATAAAAATTGTAAGATATAGTTTTACCTCGTCCACTAGTGACTTTATCTTGGTTGCATTGTCTTTCTTCAGCTGCTTCTTCCTTTTCGCTCGAAGTTCTTCTGCATTACACATTGAGAAGCATGAGCACATTTACATATAAAAATCATACTAAAAATATCAAAAAACAAAACAGACAGGTTGATAGATTTTAAAGTATAAAATTGTTCACATCGCGAATATTTGTCAGTATTGATGCAAATTATAGCAGTTGTCCCGGTATATAAATTATGAGAGTGAGGAAGGTCAAAGATGAAGATAAAAAGATCCATCTAGGACATTCCCAATAACAGGACAAAGTCCGTTCATCGTCTAACATTTCGACACATGAATAGAAATGACAAAATAAATTAAGTATCAAATGAAGTAAAAGATGGTGAAAGTGAAGCGTAACCGCAACAAATCAAGTAGCTTGGATTGCTAAGAGAATGGCAAGAGCTGACATCAGTTTGCTCCATAAAATAACCAATAGAGATGAAAGAAAACAGATGCAAAGCCAAGACCTGGGGAGGCAGCCACTATAATTTAAGTCAATATACGACTCCATAGTTTAAAATGGCGACGCCTCGAGGTGAGGCGACCGAGGCGAGGGCCATATCGCCTCGCCCCTGCCTGAGGCGACCCTGTTCGCGAGGCGCTTGCTTCAGGTCGCCTCGGCTCGCCTTTTCAAGTGGCGAGAGGCGCCTGTGAGGCGCGCCTCGGCACCTTTCAGAGAAATTAAATGCTTTGTCCATTTAAAAAAAAAGAAAAACGTGCCACTTTTTGGAAAGAGAATAAATTAAAACAGATCGAGCATTTTCTTCACTTCATCTCCCAGACCCACGAAGCAAAAAAACTACAGTGAAAAATCCCTAAATGGCTCCTCCCCAAACTAGAGAACTAGGGTTTATGCGAAAGAACTCCCTAGGCTTCTCAGATTTGAAAATTG